TTGCCCGCTGACCAGCGCCACCTGGGTCTGGGTCTCATCTGCTTTTGTGCTCCCCGGAAGGAGAGCTACACTTGGATTCTTTCCCTCTTGAAAGCCCTCCCCCTCCAGCTTAGCACAGGGGTCCCCACGCCCCCGGCCTGGGGGTTGACGGGCCATCCCCACGCAGGGCCAGGAGCGTGTGCGCAAGACATCCTTAGACCTGCGACGGGAGATCATCGAGGTGGGTGGGATCCAGAACCTCATCGAGCTGCGGAAAAAACGGAAGCAGAAGAAGCGGGCTGCCCTGGTCGCCCAGGAGCCGCCTCCAGAGCCCGAGGAGATCGTAAGCTCCGGGGAGCACACCTGTGTGGGCAGGGGAGCCCGGGAGGGCCAGGAGCACTGCGGGGCGGCCCTGGGTGATGGCATTTCCGCCCTCAGACGTTTTTTTTAAGCTGCCGTGGAAGGGAAAATGAAGGTCATCGAGAAGTTTCTGGCCGATGGGGGCTCCCCGGACACCTGCGATCAGGTGATGCTCTCACCGACCCCTTCACCTGCGCCTGACTCCCTTTCAGAGTGGCCACCCCACCCTTCCCACTTGTGGGCCTATTTGAGAACAGGCATTGGGCGTCCTTTGGGAGGGGTGTCCTCAGAAGATTTGGGATGGTCCTTCTCACACAGGAATTTATCTAAATCCTTAGGCCCTTTTCCACGCGGACCCCATCCAGAGTGCCAAATGTCACGTGGCTCTTTAGGGAAGAAAGAGGAATGGGATCAAATAAAAAGAGTGCCTCTCCCTGGCGATGTGGCCTGTAGTTAGGCCCCTCACCCCTCCGTGCCTCAGTTTCCTCCTCTGTAACACAGCCTGCTTCCCTCAGAGCACATTACACGGATCAAATGGAATAATAGTGCTTAGATAAGCATTTATTGAATGAATGAAAAAACCATAAAACTCATGCGAGGATATATTTTTGTACTGTATATCATACTTCTTTTACTTTTTTATTTTATTGTGAGAAAATATATGTAACATGGGCCATGCCATGTTAGCCATTTTAAGTGTATAATTCAGCAGCATAGATTGCATTTATAATGCTGTGCAACCATCAACACTATTTTCAAAACGTTTCCACCACCGACCATACTTTTTTTGTTTCCTTGAAACAGCCTCTTTCTTACTTTAAGCAAATTAATGAACCTGCATCATTGTGGGCTTAGTCTACATGTCCTTTCTATTCTGTAGACTCCAGAGTCTTAATCCTCTTGTTCCATCTGAGTATCGCCTCCCTCAGAGCAGCTCCTCCCTCAGGTCCTGGGAGTACAAAAAAGGAAAAGATGAGGGTTGAGAGTAGATGTTTCGAGAGACTGAAGCAGAAAGCCAACTGCATTGGGAAGGGAGGAAGTTCATCCTCTCCTTGTCTCAGTAATCAGGGTGCACCTGCCCATCCTGGCCCTGGGCTAGGCACTCCGGGGAAACAGGGCCGAGCAAGCCTCAGCTGGCCTTCCAACACTCCTCATGCGGGAGGATTGCCTGGGCCCCTGGACAGTTCTGGCCTAGAGGTTTCAAGAAGATGATGGTACCGGAGCTACATCTTGAAGGAATAGCGAGGATTCTTTAAGCACTCAAGGGAGTGAGGCAAAATGGGCACGCTGGCACAGGGAAGAGCCCGTGCGAAGGCCGGGCTTGATGTGCTGGGGGCAGTGAGAAGGACGGAGTCTGCAGGGCATAAGGGAATCTGGACAGAGCATGAGGAGCTGGCAAACATGGACGATATGGGGACCCAACACAAGGGCCATTATCAAGCCGGGGGAAGGCCTCAGCCTCAGCTTGTGTGGGAGACAGGCTCAGGCCCAGGCCGGACGTCAGGCCCTGACGGCCTCTGTGGGGACAGTTCCGCAGGACAGCACTACACCGAGCTTCCCTGGAGGGCCACATGGAGATCCTGGAGAAACTGCTGGAGAGCGGGGCCACTGTGGACTTTCAGGATCGGGTGAGCGCGAGGGCAGGTATTGGGTAGGAGGCAGGAGGTGGGCCTAGACTCCCTCTCTGTGTGCCAACCTGGGGCACAGACAGGCTGCCTCAGGGGCCGAGCCCCACCTTCAGTGGGTTGCATGACCTTGGGCAGGCCCCATCTCCTCCTCAGCAAATCTGTCTTGGACTAGATGGGTCCCCAGGGTTCTTAGGTTCTGCTTGATCCATCGCCCAGGCACTGGACTGCCCCATCCCTTCCCTGTACCCTTCTCCTGGGTATCTCCCTGCCCTTTGGGCTGGGGCCCTGTCCCCCAGGGCACTTTCTTCTCTGAAGCTCTGCAGTTAGGTCCCATCCTTCCCTTCTAGCTGGACTGCACAGCCATGCATTGGGCCTGCCGCGGGGGCCACTTGGAGGTGGTGAAACTCCTGCAAAGCCGAGGAGCAGACACCAATATGAGAGATAAGGTGAGGCAATAATGCTCACAGGTATTGGGGTGGCTGTGGGCGGGAGTGGGAAGCAAAGGGCGGAAACGCAGTGAACAAGTCTGGTTTCCAGAGTGGCTGCAGAGCCCAGGGATGGACCATTTCCATCAAATGAAGGCCCTTGGCAACCATCATCTGGGGACTGGAGCAGGAAGAGCAGAGGAGAGGGAGGGGGAAGAGATTCACTGTCCTGGGGACTTTGGGACCATCCAAAAGATACAGGATTTATTCATCCATGCAATCCTTCATCCTCCTTCTGTCTATCCACCTGTCCATTATTCATCCATCCATCCATCCATCCATTCATTCATTTATTCATCCACCTTTTTAAAATTTATTCTTTGTATGTGACCCTGAGCGAGTGATAACCTCTGAGCCTGTTGCTCCTCTGTAAAATGTCTTGCAGGGTTCTTATGTACATTAGATGGGAAAATGAATGTAAATTAATTACTTGTTAAACATGTATAATGTTTGATAAGCTTTTGCCATGCCCATCACATAGTCATCTCTCAATAAATGACATCTATTACAATTACTAAGAGAAGGGCAGAGGAGTGAGCAGTTGCTCATAGCTGAGTAAGGGGGGAATCATGGAAGGCTTCCCGGAGAAGGTGGCATGTAAAGCTTCAAAGCTAGGCCATTGGGTAGGATGGTGAGAACTGTAGCATTCCTTGCCCCTCCAGGGCGCAGGCCCTGGCACAAGGACCTGGGGGAGGAATAAGGCTGGAGTTAAGACAACCCCCTTCCCAAAGCCACACAGGCCAGGCCCCTTCAGCCAATGGCTCCTGCTTCCTCCCTACTTAGTTGCTGAGCACCCCCCTGCATGTGGCGGTTCGAACAGGGCACGTGGAGATTGTGGAGCACTTCCTGTCCCTGGGCCAGGACATCAATGCCAAAGACAGAGTGAGTGTCTGGGTTCTCCCCTGCCCAGCCCCACCATAGGGGTGCAGGCAGCCTGCGGGCTCCCCCATGCCAATATGGGCTCTGATGAGTGTCACACTGGCTCTAGGAAGGGGACAGTGCCCTGCATGACGCCGTGAGGCTCAACCGCTACAAAATCATCAAACTGCTGCTCCTGCATGGGGCTGACATGATGGCCACGAACCTGGTAAGTTCACTCCTTTCCTGATTCAGTCATCAGTGTGCACGGCACACCCAGGCCCTGTGCTGGGCGGTCAGAGGAAACGGAACCGAACAAGACTCAGCCTGCCTGCCCTTGGAGCTCTCACATCGGAGAGTCTCTCTGGGACCCCGGGGACTGCAGGCCCAGCCAGCTTCCCAAGTCTCTATGCTTGTCTATCTCCAGAGGGCAGGTGCAGAGAAACAGCCTGGAGGGCAGTTAGGGGACTTCCCAAAGGACCCCACAATAGACCAAAGGGGGTCCTACTATCCTCTCCCCCGCCGCCCCCCGCCAGGGAGGCCCAAATCATGGAGGGTCAGAGCAGGAAGAACCTAAGCCCTCGGTTGGCGTGCCTGTTCCTGGCACACCATGCTGGTTTCTGGTGGTCCTTGAGTGCTCTTAGCATCCCATGTCCCCTTGTCCAAGCTCTTCTTTGGGATTCAGAGCAACCACAGAACGGAGGAGAATGCCCCCCGCCCCCCAATCAAGAAAGCTAAGGGGCTACGGGAAAGCCAGGGAGATAGGGGGAGGGGGAGGGCGAGGACATCTCAACCTCAGCATTATTGCTATTCGGGGCTCGGCCGCCTGTGCACTGCAGGGTGCTTAAGCAGCATCCCTGACCGCTACTCAAGATGCCAGTAGTACCCACTCCCCACCTACTAACACCCCCCCCCCCGCCATTGTGATGAGCAAAAGGTCTCCAGGCACTGCCAACTGCTCCCTGCTGGGAACCACTGGTATAGATGAGGGCACCTCCTGGTACAGACTTCCAAATAGTGATCTCCTCTTGGTCCCCCAGGCAGGAAAGACTCCCACGGATCTGGTGAAGCTGTGGCAAGCTGACACCCGGAATGCTCTGGAGCACCCTGAGCCGGGGTCAGAGCAGAACGGGCTGGAGGGGGCTGCGGAGAGTGGGCGGGAGACCCCCCAGCCTGTGCCAGCCCAGTAAATGCCTGTACGGCCCCCAGACCTGAGCCATTCCTCCGTGGAAGACCCAGGAGCGCCCACAAGCTGCCGCAATAAAAAATGTCCTTTTGCTATGTGTGATGTTGTTTCTGTCTGTGCCTGGCATATTTAGGAATGCAAGAATGGGCTGGGGAAGGGGGGCTGTCTTAACTCCAGCCTTATCCCTTCCCCTAGTCCCTGAGCCAGCCCTGCTGCATTTCCTCCTCTCCTGGCTTTCGCCCTGTCACCCCTCTTCCCAAGTCCCAGCGTGGATCAGCTTCCCCATGCACTCGTCCTAGACCACCCCTCCTTGTGACTGCAGTCCCATGGGGCTGTGTGTGGCCAGCACAGGCCTGTCAGGTGGCAGCCTTAACAGGAGGAGGAGTCTGGCTGGGAAGGGGGGCAGCCAAGGGGCTGTGGATCACCCAGATCTGCCACGCCTCCCACAGGACTCAGCCAATCGACTACTCGGCCAACACGGAACTGCCAAGCAAAAGGTGGCGGGGCTCCTGGCTTTGAGCTGGGAACTGTGGGAGGAGGACTCAGGCCTCACTAGAAACACTCTTTAGTGTCGGGACCCCAGGAACCCGTCCTCCATCTGGCAAGGGACATTGAGTTGTGGCCTTCCTCCAGGTGCTCCCCAGCAAGAGGAGCACCCCCCCCCCCCGACCTATAGGCCTAGCCTTCGACCCTGGGGACACCCGGCCCAGCCTGCCCCAGGGCTGACAAGTCAGGGGCAGCAAATTTTTAACTAACACATTGATCATTAACAGGGGTCGGAAGGGGTCCAAACTCAGCCTCCCGTCGGGACAGAGACGAGCTGGGCCTCAGGCTTCCTGCGGAGATGCTGGGCCCCCGGGTCTGGTCCTCTGTGAGGCAGGGGTTGAGCAGGGGCTTGTCTAGAAATGTGGGGGGCCGGGCCTCAGGGGAGGGGAGGAAGGTGGACATCGCGGGCATCTATCCCCCTCTGACCACCCCCTTCACTGCCACCTCGGAGGTGGACTACGGGAAACTGGAGGAGAATCTGCAGAAACTGGGCACCTTCCCCTTCAAAGGTAAGTGGGCCTGTCCACGGTGGGGCTCGGGGGAGACGTGAATGGCCTGGTCTCTTCAGCCAGAAACCAGAGGGAGGCACCAGGCCTGGCAAGCTGCTCAGGAGCAGTGCAGTGCAGTGCCCTGGGCTCGTTTTACTACGGGAGAGGCACAGAGTCAGGTGGGAAGCTCCCTGCCGGCCTGAGACCCCGACTGAATCCCTGCTGCCTCAGTTCCCACAGCTGTAAACTGCTAATGCGCCATCTTAGCTCTCAGCATTATGATGAGGATCAGACGAGATAATGGGTGTGAAAGTCCTTGTTAACCTGGCACCCTGTGCAAGTGTGAGGGCAGCCAGGTGTCCAGTGGCAGCCCAGCCAGCAGGCTCACCCCGCTCAAAGCCTTGTTTGCACTCTCTCTTCTGGGTAAAGCCTCCCTTGGCAAAATTAATTCCTGTTCTGGATTCTCTGACTCATTTCCCCTATGCACATGGGTCTCCCCTCTCTGAGGCCAGGGACCAGATTATATTAGTGGCACTCGACATACAGCACAGCCACAATCACAATAAATGAAGTTAGACTTACTGGTGCGTGGCTGAGCTGGGATTTGAACCCAGGTCGGACTGCACAGCCATACTGAGTTGCACTCCGCTGCACTGACCGCTGAGTTGCTAGGCCAGACGATTGCAGCAGCGTCTGTTCAGCACCGGCTTTGGGAATGGAGTGGGTCCGGCTGAGGCGGTGTGTGGAGCAATTAAGAACATGGACTCGAGTTTCAAATCACAGGTCTGCCTGATCTGAAACTGAAGTAGCGATTACATGATTACTGATGTAGCTGTGAGCTAGTCTCCCTAAACCTCAGTCCCCCATCTGACACATGGGAGTAATAATGCCCATCTCATAGGACGGTAGGGAGAAAAATCCGAGAGAATGCAAGTGAGAGCATGCTGCAAGCGGCAGAGCGAGACTTGGAAGGTACTGAGTCCAAGGATAATGATTGTGAGGATGACAGCACGGGACTGTGGGCAAAGCCGCTTTGGGACAGTGACTGCTGGCCTGAGACCCCATTCATGTCTTGGTCTGAGGTGATGGGATCTTTCCTTAGAGGACAGTGAATGCGCTGTGGACGCCCACTTTGAGTTGTGACACAAACACTAAGTAAATTTCTGCTGGGACTCAGGTCATGGGGGCCTGAAGCTGAGGCCTGGTTCTCTTGAAGCAAAGAAAGAAGCTCCTTACATCCCTAAGAGGAGAGAAGGTTCTGCTTTACCTTCTAGGTTCCAGGACACCTGAGCACAGGGGGTGCGGAGGGTGGACTTTGGGTCTGGTGTCTCCCTACCACCCAGAGAACCACAGAGACCCCCAGGTTCTTTGAACCCTCCCCCCGACTCCTGCAGAGGGCAGGGCAGTGCCCAGGAGCATAGGCTGCCGTGGACGTGGCAGGCATTAGTCCATCTCCCATGCAACCCACCCAGGAGCCTGCTCCCACCTCCCCTCTCTCTTCCCCCCAACACAAGATGGGGGAGGGGCAGTGGGCTGTGTGGAAAGAGCCAGCATCTGGAGTGAGGAGACTGGGTAAGCATCCTGGTTCCACCCGTTAACAGCGACCTTGGAGAGTTTCCTCATTTTCGATGGGAATTGAGCCACCGGGTTCAACGCGTTTCTCCCAAAGAGCTCAAACAGGAGGCCCTAGCACAAGGAACATAGAACCATAGGGTCCTGTCACTGGTCCCAGGACACAGACCGATGCCCAGGAAAGGAGCAGTGGGCCACTTTCGCTGTGAAATCGGCGTTTCTCTTGCCTAATCCTGGCCCTGCTTTGCAGCTCAACACTCAGGGGCAGAGGGGAGAACCATCATTCTCATTGCCAGCCCCCCTGTGCCAAGATGAAGGCCCCCCCAAAGCGGGGAGCCTGCCCTTGATGAATCAGTGAACAGCTAGAGATTGTTCTGGAAGGCATGGCCTGAAACCCTGTAGCTTTTTTTTTAATATTTTTTAATTTTTCTATTACAGTTGACGGACAAATTATACTACTTGCAGGTTTCAACTAGTGATTAAACACTCACATAACTTACAAAGTGATCATCCCGATGAATCTAATGCCATCTGATACCATACATCGTTATTATACTATGATGGACTAGTGTGGCTCTTTATGTTTTCATTGTTAATTTGTACTGGCTATTTGAATAAAGAGTATTCTTTTTAAATACAAGTTACAACTAGAGACTGGAGGGTGGAGTTGTTGCCGAGGGGCCATCTGATCCTGAACTCACTCCCACAAACCACCTCAGAGATGAACTTTGAATTGTTATTTCCAAACGAGGTCATTGGACGACCACAGAGCTACTCCAGCCAGACGGGAGTTAGTGTTCCCATAGAACTTTAAGCTGTGTCTTCTTCCCTTAGTATGTGGACTAGACCATCTTTTCTTGTGATAAGAGAGAATATTTTGGTGTATATTGAAGCCATTACTGCATTAAATAAAATATTCTGTTTAAAATCTCACAATTTTTACAATCCTATTTTAACATTTCATTTAAAAAAAATGTGTTAGCTGCCTCTGGGTGGGAAAATAGAGCGGCCCAGACCCGCTTGCACCCCGAGGCCCTGGATATAATTTGGGATGTGGGCCAGCCTGTCAGTTGTCTGTGCCTTTGGAGAGCCTGGCAGGCTGGCCCACAGGCTCACACCTGCACTGTGCCCATGTACGGGGTGGGTCGGGGGTGGTGGTATATTCTGGGTTTGCAGGTGCATCACCAAGACAAGATGTAGCAGCTGCATCCTGAAATGGCCCCAGGGATCTGGGACCCGGTGACTGCTCTTGTCCTATCTGCTCTGCCTTCTCAGCCTGCTGTCTTCCCCTCCCCCATTTGTGACCTCATGTTATTCTAGAATGAGCTCCTTGCTGGACCCCTTTTCCTTCTGGACCCTGCTCCATAACGGGGCTGGGGGCTTCAAGTGGGGATGGAATGCGCTGGCAGCAGATATGGGTCCTGGATGGAGAGAGATGCCGCCTCAGGTGGCCAGGACTGGATGCCAGCCTAACCAAGGGTGTCCTCCAACCACGAACAGCTTGATCTAGAACAGCGGTTCTCAACCTTCTGGCCCTTTAAATACAGTTCCTCATGTTGTGACCCAACCATAAAATTATTTTCGTTGCTACTTCATAACTGTAATGTTGCTACTGTTATGAATCGTCATGTAAATATCTGTTACGCAGGATGGTCTTAGGCGATCCCTGTGAAAGGGTCGTTCGACTGCCAAAGGGGTCGCGACCCACAGGTTGAGAACCGCTGATCTAGAAGCCTCTGCCTGCTGGGAACCACTGGATAGCAAAGGAGAGAAACCAAAGGCTGGAAGATAAGAAGGACTGAGTTGCAGAATGGGTCACAAGCAGCAGACAGAAGGGACTCAGAGTTGGGGAAGCTGCCCTTCCACTGACCTTGGGGATAGCCGTCAGGGTGGGAGACAGAACCTGGGCCTCAGACAATGCCTGCCGGGTCGACATGAGGGATGCTGTAGCCTTCTCCCCCTGGCCCCCCCCCCAACCAATGAACCTCATAATGGGGTTCATTGCTGAGGCGGGAGGCGTATCCTAGGAAGGGTGCAGCGGTGGGCCTGCCTGCCAGACACCCACAGGGAGCCTGCCCTTTCAAGCATGAAACATACCATCCGGGCTCCCCCCCTCCCAGTGCACTCTTAGCTCTGCCTGCCTGGCTAGGGTCCTGGAGAACTTCTTGGAGCTCATCCAGCAACCATCATGCAAGGTGGTGCTGGGGACGGTCCTCTTAATCGGAGGTGGAAGCCTCATGCTGTGGCTTCGGAAGAGGAGTAGGAGGAGGAAGATAGCCTCTGTGTCTCCACAAGAGGAGCATGAGCCACAAGAATGCCACAGAGCGCAGAATGAGAACTGGATCAAATCCCACTTTAGCCGCCTTTCCGACGAGAAGCTGTGAATGGCAAATCACTACCCTGGACCCCAGCCCCCGGCAGCGCCCCCGCCCCCCAGCCTGAGACTGTCAACCGAGAGGCCGGCACCACGGTTCACATGGAGACCCCCGCCTTGAGGGAGCCCTTCGCCAACAAGCAGAAGGTGCCTGCGTACTCAGTGGTCAGAGAGACCCACAAGGAGTCCTCATCCACAGATGAGGCCACGTGGGCCGCCGTGGCTGCTAGTACTAAGGAGCTTGACACCAAGGGACGCCAGCTGGCCAACTCCATGTTGCAGCGGGCCATGGTGTACCGGAACTCAGGCCACCTGGAGTCCAAGGACCTCAACCAAGAGGAGCTGAAGGCCCTCCAGGAGGTGGAGATAAAGCTGAAGAGCAATTTCCTCGCGCAGCGGGAAACCACTGTCGCTGGTATGAACCACACACACACCTTCCATGGCCATGGTCACCATGGCCACCAGGATCATCCAAGCCACCCAAACCACCACCAGAGCCACAGCCTGCCCAACCGCAGCCATCAGACCTATCAGCCCTTCGAAGCCATCTAACCACGGATGGAGAAGCCCCTTCCCCCGACAGGGCTGGCATACAATCACAGGCCTGTTTTCTCTCCCGTGGGACAGCCTTTGTGGCCCAGAGTGAGATGCGGTCATCCCAACCCCTTCTTCCTCAGGTGGACCCCTTCAACGTCATGAGTGGACTCTGCCACAGAGGATGGGCCCTAATGGAAGAAGAGCGTGGAGGGAGCAAAGCAGCTGAAACAGACTCACAGGTTCCTGTAGACACACTGAGAGAAGACAGATGAGGCAGATCCCAGGAGCAGCTGAGAGCCACACCGATGCCACATGCCTGAGCCAATAAAGCCTTGCACCCCCTCACTCTGAGTCCGGGGGCTCTGTAGCCAGCCTCAGGGCTGGGCAGGAATGTGGGGGGTCCTTCTCCCACACCCCTTTTTGGTGTGCGCCTTGACCTGGGGCCTTTTTGCTGAGCTGATTTGAGACACCGTAAACAGCTTCCCAGGTCTCAGGTTCTGGGGACGGGATATC